TTTTTTTTTTTTTTTTTTTTTTTTTTTTTTTTTTTTTTTTTTTTTTAAGAGAGATTTTTGCTACAGGACAGTGTGCCTGCCTGCTTGCTGGATAGACGAAGAGGCTAAAAGTGAGAAATCACTCCTCGGGGGATGGCCTTTCTATAATCCCTTTTCCTCCATTCTTTTCTTGGTATTTTGTGCACACATGCACATGTGCCCAGCATGAGTTTTAAGCTGCCATGTCCAGGACTCAAACTGCAGTCGACTACATGGGAGTCTAGTGACGTAGCCATTACACCATCTGCTGGTCCCTCTACCTAGATTCCTGTCAGTACCCATGAAAGCTTGCCCCAAATTAAAAATTACTGAAGTCTGTTTAACACAGTAATATAATTTTGGGCAATTATGTCTTTCACATGGGCAATTGGTAAGCGTAAATCAAAGTGTCTTTTAAAAAATGATTATTTAATTTTACTTAATTATTCTTAGTTTAAATTTTGCTACAGGGTACATGCACTCATCAGAGAGAGACAGAAAGAGAGAGGGAAAGTGAGAAAACAAGCCATCAGGTCCAGGACTCACATTGCCATGTGGGAGTCCAACACTTCAACCACCATGCCACCTGCTGGCCCCTAAACACATCTTAAGATGTTTACATTGCGTGCCCCAGGCTGGGAAAACTTGCAAAGTAAAGTGATGCATTTGCTAAGTAGAGCAGCATTGAGAAGCCCCACCCTTTTTTTGCAGGGCACTGTGCCCTGAGCCCAAACCTGGCATCCCAGTGTGTGTGGAAGCCCTATTGTGGGGAGAAGGCTCCAGCCCCTCCCAGCCCCTCTCACACAGAGACATCCTCTGCAATCTGAGGCACCAGCTGCCTGGCTCCCAAAGACTACCCTCCTGAGTGCCCATCCCAAACTAGAGGGCATGTCAGGACCATCACAGAGGACACTGTCCCATTCAACTCTCAAATATTCATTCCTCAGGCCCCATCTCGGGTCCCACTTCACTGCCTCCAGAGAACCTTCTTCCAGTGCCCCAGGGGACACTCTCTTTCCATCTCTAACTGGGGATACAGCCTTTGTTTGAGGCTAGATACCAAACAGATCTTGTAACCGGTGGGGGGGGCGATGGGTGTCTCCTCTCTTCAACTACCCTCAAAAGTACTTTGAGGACCACTGTTCTGCCTTGTTCTGTCCCTCGTCATTCTGGATGAGACCTGGTACCCAGTCAAGGTGCAGAGAAAACTGGGAACAGATTCATTGGGAATACTGCTCCCCAGAGCTCAGGATTCCTCAGGAACTCTGGAAAAGCAGAGTGCAAGTGTCCTGGGGCTCTGCTTTGTCCAGAGCTGTAGGATTTTGTTTTGTGTATTTTATTCTAGTGTACTATGTCCCCACCTGAACCGAGCTCAGGCCAGGTGATGGCGGGACCTTACTTAGGAGTTCCCATGGCTGTGTCGTGATACGTGTGTGTGTGGGAGGATCTTCCTGAGCCGAAGGCAGGCAGTTCATCTGACCGAGTACCAAGTCAAAGGAAAGCAAAGCAGACTCTGAGTGTGTGCCTTCACAACCCTGTGCTCAGAGAACTTCAGGTACCATCCAAAGGGTGGAGTAGTTCTTTAACATGCATTCCTCTGTTACTTCAGAAGGCTCTGCATAGACAGCATTGGGTGTGTATTTGATATTTTTAGGAAGACAACGATATCGCAGGGAGAACAGCACTTACCATCCCCGTCACCACTCTCATTGCAGGAATTTGGTCAAATCTCAGATATTCAGAGTTAGGCTATTGGGTAGCAGGGAGTTCACGCTGACCCTCCACTTCTCTTCCCTGTCTCTCCTACCAGGTGACTGTCACTGCTTGCCTAGATTTTTATAAAAGAGGCAAAGGAGAGCAGGCTGACGAGGCACAGTGAGAACTGGTGGATTGATGGAAAAACCCAAGGGAGAGAGAGGTTAGGGCTGGAGGGAAGCCCACAGGCCAGCGGCAGGGGCACGCTTGCCCCCTCAGTCTTAGCAGGGCCCAACCAAATGCCCACAGGTTAGACAGCCCACAGATAGCCTCTAAACATCCCCCACTGGCCATACTCCAGCCCTAGCTCCTATTTATCATTATCTAAATCCCAGAAGTTCTACCTGACCAAGCAGGAAGCAATTACTGTCGATGAATTCCCTGCAACTTTCTGTGGGCGTTTGGCCGAGTCTTCAATGAGTCTCTGGTGGATGTGGTTCCAACATTCCTCTGCAGAATGACTTTCCACCGCTGCCCTTTGTGACAGGAGCTACCCTGGGAAAGTGGTGGTGGCAGGGCGGGGGAGGGC